TTTGCATAACATACAAAGTAATTTTCACACAGATCACTTTTGCATATAAACAATCTCATGTGTCAGAAGGTGTCAAACATATACAGTGAACACAAAGGACAACAGGGAGAAACTATCCTTAAGAAAGGCTGCAACTGCACTGCAAACAAATACAGTAATGAATTAATGCTTTGCTTAAAACGAAGCACTACCTAGGCTGGTTTCTTGCTTGGGGCTGGGGTGTGATGTGGATTATAATTCCTTTCCCTGAATAGTCTTAAACTATAAATAATGGTGTGGAAAGACTAAGGTGGCAGCTGATCATCACTGATCAACACTGTCATTGAACATTGCGTAATCCCAATAAATTAGGATTTAAGTAATGCATATAGTATCAAAATAATGAGTCTTTATGAATCTGTATAACTTTTTATTAAATAGATACAGTAGATATTTCATCTAGTATTGATCTTCATGTGAGAGGAAGCCACAGCAAGTAATGACAGAGGATTAGGGGGAATAGCGCTGCCATTTGTGAAGCCAAGAGGCCATGAGCCAAGATTTGCTCAGTGGCTGTCACCTATTGGAGGCAGACATTCTTCATAAAAATTTAAGTAACTTACCCAGGTTTACTTTGGTTATGTTTTGTGTAATGCAAAGAAGTAAAGCTCATTAGAAATCAACCATCCCTTTCTTGAGGATAATTAATTTAAGTAATGTATTAAAACAGACTCAATAGGGAAAAGGACATACTAAATACACATTTTCTATTTGACTGGAAGCAGAAGCACCAATATAGTCTAATCCAACCCCAACTACTGTAACAATTCAGAAGTCACTGTCTATTCAGTTACCCAACGTGTTTGTATACATTTGATATTAAAGCGTTTGCTGCACGTAATTTTAAATCAGTGGAAGATCTCACAGACATCAACAATCTCTGCCTTTGCTACTAAATAAATTTTGAACCCAAGAGACCTCAGAAATATTAGTAATTCTGCAATTCACCTCATCATGATTTAGGTAAACTGAACAGGTTTGGAATCTATAGAGAGACACCACACCACAAAACAGTTAAATAGCAGCATTTGTTACTTGCTGGCGTTTTAATGGCTATTACTGAAGAGACAGTACGCACAGAATGTGTTTGTTCTTAGTAGAAGCACAAGACATGTAAACAACACTTTGGAAAGACAAAACAGATCAAAAATAGCTTGTTTCTCTATGTCATCTTATTTGACATTCTTAAAGATCTATCTACCAAACCCACATTAAACATAGAGCGAAGTGGAAGAGTTAAACACAGAGTGAAGCTTCCCCTCAGCAGCATTATACAGTACCTCTATAGTTCAGAGAAGGTTCAGACTGAGTTTTTGATGGAGGAACTGGAAAAGTCAGGCAATGAAAGGATAAGAAAAAACACATTAAAGTTCTAATATAGCCCTGTAAAGCACAATATTCATTAAGTAGCACCTTTTTTCCTAAGCATTACAGAAAAAATGTTGACTGACAACACACATTCAGAGCTGCTACTAAGGCAGTTTAGGTGCATTTGTATTAATTCCTGATTGATTCACGAAGCTGCTTCAACTGCTAAATAGAATTAAGTAAGCAGGTGGCAGCAGAGCTTCTCTTTTAATAATCCTTCAGCTCTTGGTGCTTTCTCTTTCAGGCAAGTGAAGAGCGAGGAATTTTTCTAGAATCTGCTCTTACAAGCACAGCCTATGGCTTTCAGCACCTGTGATACCTTACTTGTTAGCGAGAATGTGTTTAAAATATCTATTTTCTGTTAAGTAAACAGGCTAGATACCCACTCAGTGCCCACGTCACAGACCAACTGCTACTGAAACCAGTGGGTTTATTCCTCTTGGAGATTACAAATGAGAACACTGAAGAAGAAATTTGCTAAAACGAAGGAAAAATTCTTGTAAATTTTATGTGCATTTACTGGTTTTCTCAGACACCATGGTGCAGAGTAAGAGGAAAGCACAAAAAATCCTGAATTGTGCTCAGGATCAGGGGGCTTTTATCATAATGAAAGGAAAGGAATACTGAAAGTTTAAAAAATATTAAAATATTAAAAAAAGGCCGATGTAGAGAGATGTCTACTATGACGCGTAGATCTTTGTGGGTCCTTACAACTCAATATAGTCTGTGATTCTGTGATAATTTGCTGCTATAATCCCAGCCCTGTAGTAAGGTCTTGGTTTTGACTGTATACACTACAACCAAATTCGAGGACCAACATTGCACCAGCATACACACCATTGCTTACATTTGAAAGGAAAGACTTTACTGAACGCTTATGATAATTTCTCTCTAAGTTGTTCCTGAATTATGTTCAGGGAATGAATCCTGTTGAATACACTCCATGTTCAATATGCTGCTCCAAAATGGTTAGCTTAATTACAGTAAACATGTCTTGAAAAAAACAAACATGCAATTGAGTTATGACATGTTTTCAGCCTCTTTTTGGAACATCCCAGCAATTCAAAAGAAAAGGAGATATTTAGTTTACTTAGAAGTCTAAACTCACTGAAATTTGATTCGCACAGACGTAGAACTGTCACTTATCAAAGAGTTGGAAAGAAGAGACAGAATGTCAACATAAATAAATAATTTTATAAATAAAAAATAAGCCTACAGCTCAGCACCTACAAGAATGACGTTATCTAAACAATAAATAAGGACATTTACTGTGCAGGAAGTGATAACGATTGAGAAAAACTGCAGGAGACAATTTTAATGTATATCACTTTCTGACCTAAAACAAAATAGTTGTCAATGTGTATTTTTAAAGCAGGTATATTTTAAAGCACATCACAGAGTGAATATATAATCAGGCTGACAAAACTCAACTCTGAGAAGCTGCTACTACAGTTTTGTCTATGAGAGCAGAAAGCGAGGATAGGTAAACATGAGAACAAAATTTTACATACAAATACCTCTTAGCTCCTCTTCATTAAACCGTCAATAAATTTGCTCTTTGGAGAAACTGTCTCTGATCCTGTCCAGTCTGTTTCTCATAAGCCCTGGTCTGTCGCCTCTGCCTCTCAGCTTTCACAGCTGCCATGACTATGGCATGTCTCTTCTTTCCTTCTCTCCAACCCACAGCACAGGTAGGTGACAGACTCTGCCTGGACACGGCCCCCTGTGTTATGCACACCTCTACTGACAGCAGCTCTGGGATATAGCAAAGCTCCTCCTTTTGCCCTGCCCTAGGCCAACCTGCACCCTGCCAGAGTCCAGCCCAGCCTGGCACAAGGCCCAAGAGCAGCCAAGGACGGCTGGGCACATTGCTGACCTGGCTGCTGCTCTGGGCACAGCTCACTGAACAAACCCATGCTGCTCTCCAGACTGAGATCTCACTCTGCTGTTTCAGCTGAACCCCAAAAGAATGGCAGCACGAATGCTTTTAATTGCCCATAATATTGCTGTCACATCACATAACCCTGCAGTGACCCCTTTCAGTCCTGGCTCACCTTTTTTTCTGTCCCAGGCGTACAGCTCCTTTATCCCTAGCTCCTCCAAGGACTTGGTAAGCTCCAGCTCTTCCCCAGTTATGCCATCCCGCAGAAGAACAATGTGCTCTTGACTGACTTCACACTTCTCACAAATAGCTGGGATGATGTTGTGGAGAGGCACCTCTGGACTAACTCGAACCACAGTCTTCTGTGTCTTCAGGTAGTTCACTACCAGCCTCACAGATTTCTGCAGAAACAAACAAACTCTCAGTCTCTCTTCTGTGATGGATAGGCCCTCTTACAATGAGAAAAGCACTGGGAATTTCCATATTGTCTTGCCTGTTTCTAGGCAAACTCACCCCACATTGCAAAAAATACTGTTTGAAAGAATAAAATCTCAGACCTCCCTTTCCACTAAGGAGACATTCACAAGAACATGCAAAGAAGGAAAAGGAATCAGAGGCAGATGTAATGTAAATGTTTATAAGTCCCACTCTGAAAGGTGGGAGAGTATAACTAGATATAGTTATTAGAATAACAAAAAATTTCAGCAAACATTTGGAAAATGACTACTTCTCAATCTTCACTGCACTGTGAAATACAATTATTAATGATCAGCCTTCTCCCATATCTTCAGTGAAGATGGTACACATAATGTCACCAAAATGCTATCTCCACACAACCCCACAATACTAATTGCAGTCATTACTGCAATTTTCAATTGCCCCAAACTTCACATTTCCATCTATCCGACCACATGCAATGTACCATTTTGTCTAAATGTCTAGACTAGCCTCTGCCAATCTACATGCAAAACAGTTAAGGTAGTAAAGCAGGTTATAGTCCATCCCAAGTCTTTCCCATCTGGTTTAAAGATGGAAAGACTGGAAGAACTGAAATCACAGGAATGGAATGATGTTTCATAGCATCATTTTAGCCCTTCAGAGTACTGACCTCAGGGACCCTTGGCAGAGGTCGCTTTGCCTTCTCTTCAGGAATCTTCTCTTTCAAAAGTACTGTCTGTACATCCAGTGCTCCTATCAAAGTGTTTGGCTTGTAACTCAGAACTTGTTGAGTTCCCGAAGACTTTAGTTCAAGACTATGTTGGGATGGATTTAAGTGATACTGGCTGCATAAATCAACCAATACATCCATCACAGCTTTACTACAAGGAAGAAGAATTCACCATTAGCATGAGAAAAAACCGTTGCCAGAAAATTTACCTCAGTTTTAAGATGGGGGGATAAAAGACAACAAAACAAGCTGTGGATATGCCACTAGTTAACCATCTTTGGGAGGGAACGGTGCTAGTGCTTTGAAATGTTAAACAGATCAGATAAAGCGATAAGAATTAAATATATTCACAGTTCAGTGTCTGTTTATGTGCTCACAACTAATGATTCAGTATCAGGCAGACAGCAGTGCCAATCATAGCACTAACAAACCTAAGCCAAGAGGAGACAAAGTGCATCTTACTTACTTCCAGACCACAGATCACAGAATATTCTGAGTTGGAAGTGACTCACAAGGATCCAACAAGTCCAGCTCTTAAGGGAATGGCCTATATGGGGATTGAACCCACAACCTTGGTGTTATTAGCACCATGTTCTGACCAACTGAGGGTCATAATGTAGTAAATCTATACATTAAATGCTCCAGTTCAAATCCTGTTCTTTAATGTGAAGACAAGATATGAATAAATTATGAACTCATAATGGAGTGCTTACACCTGGAACAAATGGTAGATAAAGCTTATTTTTCCAGTTTACAACTTTGAGTTCTCCCCATCCATTTGACACCAGCAATATTTTCCAGTACAATAGATCCTGTCCAGTATTATTTTGGTGAAGATATTAACCCTGTACAAAACCATCTGGTTTTAAGTGTCCCCATTATCAGCAACTTTTACTGCAGTATGACTCTTAAACATGAGGTTTTAAAAGAGTCAGCAACTGTCCCTCTCATTTTATGCCTCTGCACAGAGGTACTCCATTCTGTGTCACCATCTCAATACACACAGGAGCTTGATATTGCCTAATACAACAGATATGAACTGTGCTCCCCCATACTTCAGAAATTCTCTACTGTGGTAGGGTTCTTTTATTTTCCCAGCCTTCCCCTCAAAAATTCCATACAGCATCAGAGAAAATAGGTTTATTAAAACTGGTCATTTTTCTAAAAAGTTTTGGTTTCATAAACCAAGTCTGTCACCAATAAAACAATGTAAGCTAAAAAAAAATTTATCAGCTGTAGCTGGAACCTGTGGGTTCACACAGTGGGATATGTGTCTTCTACAGAAGTGAAAATAAATGCACAGACAACAAATTTGCCAAAAGAACTGGCACTTCTTTTAATGTTTAAACTGGAAAAACTGTATGCATATTCAAAATGCAAACAAATTCAAAGAAAATAAAATCCTCCACAGGTTATTAGACACCACCATTATATCCGTAGCTCAAGAACTACCCTTTAAACTGCAAGCTGTTGGCATCTGGGAAACTACCCATGGAGGGCAACCAATCTCCTTTCTATAGGTATACTGTTGGCCAACAGCTGCTCAAGAATTTGGTGAAGAACACTGGAGGGCTAAAGGAAACAACAAATGGAAAACTAGAGCAATTCCTTATTACCTGGTAGGTGACAGCTCTTCTCACGCAAGAGAAGAGGAAGGACCTTCTTTACAGTAACCTTTTTCAAGTTTAACAGTTACACAGTGTGAGCTGGAAAAGTGGCAAGCGTGGCAAATTTGGAATAACGAGATTTCACTGAGAAGGGAAAAACTCAGAAGATGGTGACTGAAGACCAAATAAGGAAAACAGAGGTCATTAATATGTATCTGAAGGAGGCTTCAGAACAGAGTGCACTGTGGCAACTGCTAACATAGAGAGCACAAATACAAATGTGTAGCATCCAAATCAAAACTGTATCAGCTAATTTCATGATGACTCATTCTGACACTGTTCCCAGGTTGAAAATATCTGTCTCACAACCATGTTCAATTTATATGCTACACATCACAAACCAACAGACATTTACAGCTACTAAGTCCAAATTACAGGAGAATCCCACCTACACCAGTATTTACATGAATATTCATTAAACTGTGCAGCAGTGTGCACTTTTTAAAAGTGGTTATCAGTTCTCCTGATACAGATCTCAACTTGTCTGTTTATAGACATACCTTTTTTTAAACTAAAATTTGCAAGTGTTTGCTATCCCTCAGCCTTCTTACTATTGTTTCAGAGAAAAGTTAATAAATAAGCAGGCAGAATCACAATACATGGTGTCCTATGCGCATGATATTTATATTTAAAGTGGAATAGTGGAATATTTTTGTAGTGCATAGTACTGTGATAATTCATTCAAATTTGGACAGTAATCTTGCCTCTTGAAAAAGTATTTGTAAAGACAATATAGTTCATCAAAATAACAGTTTGCAATTTCACACATATACCACTGAAATTTTAAAATACAGTCAGCAGCAACAGTACCACAACTCTAACAAGATCAGAACCCACACCAGCAATCAGAGAAAATAAGTTACAATCATGCAACTTGAACAAATTTTTGTGGGTAAGGGACAATTCAAAAATCCAGCCAAATCTGAGGTTTCATCTTATTGCTGATTACGAACAGGCACACATTAAACATAACACTTATGGAAGTCTGCAGCATCCCAGCCTGTGCCATGCTGCTCAGATACACAACTGTTCCATGAAAAGCATCGCCAGCCTTCATCTGTACCATTTGAAAGTACAGCTGAAGCTTTTGAAAAAGCTTCAAAGCAAATCATACGCTTTTTAAAAAAATGTAAATTTGGGGGAAAATTTTCACAAAATTTCTGAAGTGTAAAAAAAAAAAAGAGAAGAGAGGAGAAAATGAGAAAAAAAAAAGGAGAAAATGAGAGGAATTCCACAAAATTTAAAATTCCTATCTTTCAGGCAAAGTAAGAGAGCTGGGAAATCCTTGCAATGAAGCTATTCTTATATCAGATTTCAATGGCACCAACTTGAAAAAAAATCATTCTAAACCATAATACAGTTCAGCTTAAATGGGAGTTTTATTTCAAGTAATTCCATGTATATGGCACACACAGAAGAGAGTCACTAAACACAGCAAGAGAATAGTAAACTACTAATCTAGACCAACTTTTCTTTCTAACATTGGGCTGAATCTGGCTCTTGGAAGATGCAAAGAGTCAATCCTTCCTTTGCTTCCATCTTGTTCCACGTAGAGCTCCACTTTCCTTTAACCTCTTTGGATATCTGCTGCAGAGTACTCTTTTGAAATTCAGGGAGGTCTTAAATCTAAAGCTGAAATGAAGCTAAATATGTCCTGCCTTTCCAACTATTCAGCTAAGAAACACACTATTTTTTCATTTTAGTAAGATGTTGCTGAAATTTTTGGCAAGTGACCAAACACTACGTAATAGACACCAAAGGTTAATGACTGACAAGTAAATACTAGAGCACAGAAACAAAACTGGAGAATGAACACAACTGACGACTCAGATAAGAAGGTCCACATGACTATTCTTAGTAGAGTACTTTGGCTCTGTTTTGATATTCTATCACTAAGCTGTTTGACATTAATGCCAATTCTGGGCAGTAAATTTGAGAGTCTGCTCAAACTTGATCAGACTGCTTGTTTCCCGTTGTTCTTTGCAGCAGAAGCCTATGGTTTTTAGGAAGTATAAAACAACTGAGATGTTCTGGGTGTGGTTTGGCTTAACCTCCTTGGATCACACAGAGAAATCCATTAAAATACAGTCTTGTAAATCTAAAAATAAATGTGCAGGGTAAAGTTGTATTCTATCAAATGAAACCAACTTTCTTTTTACCTTCTACTTTCATGCTACAAATGCCTTCCAGTACCTAAATGGGCCTACAAGAAAGCTGGAGAGGGACTTTTCACAAGAGCATGTTGTGATAGAACAAGGGGTAATAGCTTTAAACTGAGAGTAGGCTTAGATTAGATATTAGGAAGAGATTTTTCAGGTGAACGTAGTGAAGCAGAGGAACTGGTCCAGAGAAGCTGTGGATGCCCCATCCCTGGAAGCACGAGGGGGATTGAAACTAGATGGTCCTTAAGGTCCTTTCCAACCCAAACCATTCTGCGATTCCATGATTAAAAAAAAATAAATAAAAAATTCTCAAACTGGAGGAAAGAATCTTCTTTATTTAGGTCAATCTCTAATGTGCATTAAGAATCGACAGTAGCAATTGACTGGAAAAGAAACATAATAGTGTAAAGGGGGTGGATGACCTAAAGTCTCTAATTCTTTCATATTTGCATTTAAACCAGAAAATAGCATTAGTCATTATTTTCTCATGCTCCAAAGTACAGTAGGTACTCCATGAAAAGATTACAATTTTTTCTATGCAAACAAAAATGTACACACTAAGTAGCAAGCTGTATCCAAGTAGTTCAGGAGGTGTGATAAAGACACTCATAAATGTTTTCTGTTTCTTTTCTTAGCTTGCTCCTGTACATTTGGCTCTTACTTTCCATAACTGAGCAAGTCCACAGACGAACATCAAGATGATACATAAAACAGGACAGAGGACTGTGCTTTTTGAGCCTTAGGACATGAAAGTTGAAGAGAGACCTTGCTACTCTCTGAGTATGAACTGTAGAGTTACAGAGACAGACTCTTCTTGCCAGTGAACAGCATGAGGGCAAATAGCAAAAGACAAGTGCTGAATAGGAAATTCCATTTAGGTACAAGTAAACATATAGCTTCCATAAAGATGGTTCCAGCCCTGGAAAAGAGGTGCAGAGAAATCCAGAAACCTCGTCCCTCAAGTTATTCAAACTTGCCTAGAGACTGTGTGCTCCAGTGGCCCCTTCCAACATAAATTCTAGCACAACTTTTTGTTTCCCTTTAGCCTACACTGAACTACTGTAGTTTTGACCTGACCCTTATTAAGTATTTAGTTAAACTAATTTTTAATCCTTTTGCCATGTGCCCAGTTTATCTTCTTCTAACAACACCTCTTTAATGTTTAACCAACCTGGGCTGATTTCACACCTTCAGTCTTTCCTAAGACACTGTTCTGTATGTTGAGCTAGAAGCCCACAATAAAGAGTCTATTACTGAGAATATGTGAGAATATTCTTTCTGTGATTACATTAGTTTTATATGTGTTTTATATGTGATGCTCCATATAATGAATATTCTGTACTGAACTCTGTCCTCCAACATTTGCAGAATTGGACTACAGCTTCAGCTAGTTCATTATTTCTTCTAGTATCCTGCCCTCTGTGCATCGTATGTGTGAGAGAATTTGTGTAATGTGTAAGATAACAGCAGGAGCAACAACTGTCCAGTTTACTTTTTTGCATATTGGTCGTCCACGTGTTGACAACTCCAAACCAAACCTCACTTACCTTCAAACATCCCTATTTTTCTGCAATGCATTTCAAATACTACTGAGTCCCAAGCTGCTGACACATAATGTCTTATCTGTGTTAATCAGGAAATCCTCCTCAGTGCCACCCAGTGTGAACAGAGACAGATGCATGATCTCTTTATTTACAGGTTACCCACTGAAAGTATTACCTCTGAGAATCACAAACAGAAAACTGGTAACTTGGGAGCTTTTCCACTTGTTTTCCATCTAAA